CACACGCACACGCACACACATACCACTGAGACCCAAAGAGCAAAGACTGGTCCGTTTGGTTCAAGGCCGAACCTCCAGATCCTGGAGTGGTTTCTGGCTGCCAGGAAGTACTCAGAAATTATTTGCTAAGTATATGAACAAGGAAGAAAGGAAGGAAGAAGTGAGCTAGTAAGCAAAGAACCAAGAGATGGCAGAAGAAAAGGCCTTTCTGAGATTGCAGAATCTCCATTCCCAGATTGCCGCTAACCGAAGAAGGAAAATTCCGGCAAACTTCCCTTATCTCAGTCCTCACTGATTAATCTTTCTAAATCAATCCCAGTGGGCTGACAGGCTGGATTCCAGAAGGATCTTCTGGGAGAGGCAGGAAAGGGAGGGGAAAAAAGCCCCTTGGTCCCAAATTGTCTAGTGGCCAGGCCAAAGTGCAGACCTCCCCATCCTGGGCCCCAGGACCCACCTTCCATTCAGTGCTGGCTGTGGGGGCTGGGAGGATAAAGACAAAATCCTAAGAACTCTTTAAATGCAAGGCAAGAAGACTGCCAACCTCAGCCTGGGCAGACCAGTGGCTGGAGTCTAGCGGAATCAGTTGCTAGCTGGTCACTAGTTCCTTTCACTCAAGGGTATAGGAAAGCGAAAAAACATCTTTGTGTTCAACCAGCATCCAGCATCCCTACTCCCATTATTTTGTGCTTATACTGGGGCTTTAACTCAGGGTACCTAGGTGCTGTCCTTTAGCTTTTTCATTTTGCTCAAAGCTAGCACTCCATCTCTTGAACCACAGCTTCACTTACGGCTTTCTGGTAGTTCACTGGAGACAAAAGAGTCTCCTGGGCTTTTTCCTGCCCAGCCTGGCTTTGAACATCGTCAGAGCTCAGCCTCCGGAGTAACTAGGATTACAGGCATGAGACACCTACTAGGCTCCACATTCATTCTTGATTCCTATCTTTTTTCCAAAAAAAAAAAAAAAAAAGACCAAAGCCACACCCACAACACGGAAAACCACCTTTCCCAGAAAACCCTCACTCACAGCAGAACTCCCTCAAACCCCCATTCTCCCCACGCAGTACCCCCTCGTTCAAAGGGCTCACAGGGCAGCTCCCCTCGGCCAACCTATGTAGCCCAGCCATAACCACCAAACATGCCAGGGGACCCAGCCACCCAAAGGTAACACCCCCTTCTTGCTGTGTGACTGGGGCAAATAGCTCAACCTCTCTGAGCTTGTCGTGCAAAAGTAAACAAAGATCAAGCTGATAACACAAGCAAGACTGGAGGAGCAGATAGCTACAGATAGAAGAGGGGGGTAAGAGGTGGGAAAGAGAAAGCACCTGTACCCCACAAAGAAAAAGGAGAGGGGGGAGGATTTAGGTTGAGAAATCTCTAATCCTCCCTGACAATCAGTAAATTCCGGGCTCAGTCCCAGCTAGCAGTTAACAGGATTGTCTTGGGCGTGGCTCTGGGCCTTGGCCTAGGGTCCACAGCTCCAGGCCAGGCTGGAGGTGGAGTTGGGGAAGATAAAGCCCCCCCTACCGGGACCTACTCTTCACTCCTGGGTAAGAAGGCCTCACCAGGCTGTGGCAGCTTTCCCGCCATTTCCTCTACAATATCAGCTATGAAAGGGCAGAAGTGGGGGCAGAGGACTCCCCTAGACCTCCAATGGGGACTTGCTTAACCCTAAACCCTAACACCCAGCCACCCGGTATGAGTCGGGGTCTGCCAGACCAAGCTCCCACTGCACAAGACACTGATGAGTGCTTGCACGTCTGAGCCAAGCACAGCAAGGCCACAGCCCCTACAGGCGGGCAGCAAGGCCCAGCCCGCCAAGGACAGCCAAGATCAGATTCCTTGGGCGCCCCTGCCACCACCCCAGGCAGCACCAACTAACCCGGCGAACCCAAAAGCCATGCGAACGAACACCCATCACTGCAGCCTCCCAGGGTGCCCAAGGGGGAGCCCCAGATGGCCTTGGTACCCCCCAGGGCAGCCTTCAAGTCCTGCCTCAAGGGTCCCTAATGCCCCCGCCCTGGGCCAACATGGGGCCACTTAAGGAGGAATCCCGAGGCCCGGGGCTCGGCGGCAGCCCCAGAACAGCCCAACTCCCCAGAGCCGCGGGCACCTTCGTGCCCCTCCCCCGGCGCCTCACAAAGGCCCTTTGTCCCACCGAGTCCCGGACTTGGGTTCCTGAAAAGTTACAGCAGAAAAATCCAAGCGAGGAGCAAAATCAGCCAGCGTGGCCGGGCCGGGTGCTGGGGCTGAGGATTCTTTCCAAAGCTCCAAGGACAAGGATCTCCCCAAGAAATCACAAACACCCTAGACTGCGACTTAAACGGAAAGGTGGATTTCTTTTCCTTTTCCTCCCTTTCATCTGACCGTCTGGCTCAGAAGCCAGGAGCAGCTGGGGAGGAAGGGTTGGGGTCCCGCTCAGTATACACCACCGCCAGGGCCGGGTCACCCGGCTCTCTCTTTCGTGTCCATTCGGCTGCTGCAGCCCCGCTGGGCCCGGCCAGCTGCGTTCTCCGCTCCGCGGCCCTTCCAGGAACCAGAGGCAACCGCCACGCGTTCCCTGCCACCTTCCCGGGTGTCCCCCAAGGCCACCAGGACCCGGCCCATCATCTGCTCCAAGCGCCGGCCGGGATTCAAGGACCCCTCCGCAGCACTGTGCACCCTCGTTCAGCCTTAAGAGAACCAGAGTTCCCCAAGCCGGGATCACAGCCCTCCTACCGGGGAAGAGGCCTAGAACTGGGTTAACCGCTTCCCCGACCTCTTCCCCGGGGCCGGGGACCCTGCTGAGCGCGGGTGGAGACGGAGCTGGACACGGAACCCAAGGCCCCAGCGGCACAGGGGAAAAAACCCATTTGCCAAGAAGAAAATGATGGGAGTTAGGGGAGCGGGAGGCGCACGGGGAGCGGGCGTAGGGGACCCGGCGTGATCGCTTCTCGCCCGGATTTTGCAAACCCCAGGCTCGCACCACCAGGGGCCGGCGGACACGGATCGCCTCCGGGGCGGGCTCTGATCGCCGCCGCAGACATTTGGGAAGAACCAGAAGATCCGGGCCGGCAGCCGTTGGGGCCTCGGGACTGGCCTCTGCTCTGAACCCCGGGGATAAGGGTTTCCTGCCCAGGGAGCTGAGCCCACCCGTTCCCTACCGACAGACCGGGGGGCGGGGGTCACCGAGCTGCCCCCAGACTCGGGCGCGACGGTCTCCGGGGCCTGGGCTCCCCGGCCGCCCGCGCGCTCCGTCGCGGCGCACTTACCCGGGTGCGGGTGAAGGTTAAGGCCGGCCATGTACTTCCCGGGCGGCAGCGGGCCCGGCAGACCCGACGCGGGCAAACGTCCGGCGGTGGCCGCGCCCACGCGGTGACCGTCCATGGCCAAGCCGGACAACAGCGGAGGCGGGGGGCCGTGCACGGACCGCTGGGGTCCGAAGTCTCGGCCATCCATCCTCCGCGGGAGAGCGGCGGCCAGCCTCCCCCCGCCTGGCCCGCGGGCCTCGATCACTGGAAACTAAAAGTTCGGCTTCCACGTAGTCCCGGAGTCCTCGGGTGGCGGGGGCTCCGCGGCGTGCATGGCGGCGGCCCGCGGCCCCGGGCGCACGGCCGGCGGCGGAAGGGCCTCTCCGGGCGGCCGGGCGGAGCTGTGCGAGGCGCACTCGGCGTCTTGGCGGAGAAGTAGATGAGCCACGGAACAACGGAGAGAGGAGAGAGAGGGGAGAAAAGGGGGGAAGGAGGGAAAAAAAATTAAGTTCGATAAAGTCGCCTTGCGCCCTTCGGAGTCGGGCGGCCGATCGGGGGTGTCCAGAAACAAATTCGGGAGTTAGACCCACTTTAGTGGAAAGTTCTTTCCCTTGTGTCCCCCCCCCTTTAAAATCTACGTTTTCCTTCCGTCCAGAGGACTCGCAGCTCCCCAGGACTCGATTTGGGGAAGTGACAGGTGCGCGCCGAGCTCCAACGCAGCCTCGGCCTCAGCGATGGCCCGGGTGTGTCCTCCCTACCCCGGGGAAGGCCAAACCGGCGGCGTCCGGAGAGGCTAAGGAGACAAACCACCGCAGAGGGGTTTGATTCCTGGGCGTCACAAGCTCCGAGGTCGAAAAACTGGGAAGCCTCTTTCTTGAGCTGCTGGCAAGGTCTCCCCAAACACTATCTCCACGGCAAAGTTTAATATTTAACCTTTCTGGGGCCCCTCGCCTGTTTTTTGTTTTTTTGCCACCCCCACCCTAAAGAGTTTGATTTTCCTGTGCTAGCCTGAAAAAAAAAAAGCCAAAGGAATGCTTAGTTTGTTGTGATTGCTGCCCGATTGGGGTGGGAGGTGGCAAAAGCACTGGGTTTGTGGTTTTTAAAGAGCTTCGCCGCCCCCTCTCCCGCCGCCGGCATCGGGGCCACCCGGAGTCGCACAATCCTGGGTCCCCAAGACCCGAGGTCGTGGCGCTGCCGCCGGAGGATTTGTTTTAAAAAATAATAATAATCCTCCAAACCGAGCTTCGCTTTCATTTTCCATCGCCCCGGCGTGGGAATCATTTCGCGGCTCCGAGAACGCGCGGCCCACTGGGGAAGGGGACATAGGATGGGAAGGAAAAGGGGTTCAAGGATCTCTCTCCAACCCCTAGCTTCCCACACATTACACACCCTTAAAATAACCTACAAAGGAAAGCTTCGAGGGGAGGAGGCGGAGAGGCCCGCGCTGGGCCGAGGGGCGCCACCCCCCAGTGCAGGGCAAATCCCCCTGTAGTTCCAGTTTCAAGATGTTTGTTTAAAAGCTTTGTCGCTGGCCGATTCCCGTGGGGGCGGATAGGGGGGGAGGGACGGGGGGTGTCCTGGAGCCCACCCTTCCCCGGCTGTCCGGCCGGCCGCCCTCGGTGGCTGATCGTTAACTCCCGGAGAGGCTCCGAGACGCCCGAGCAGAGCCAAAAGAGCCACCACCCGCCTCCTGGGGTGTCCGCCCTGCACCCCGACTCCGCTCCCAGCACCCCCTAAGATGCACACACCGTTCTCCGGCTTCCTTCAGCCTTTCTGTGCCCCCCCTCCCCACCTCCAACTTTGGTATTTTAACATGGTTTTGGTTACAAACACCCCCTCCTTCCTCTCTCCCTCCCGTCTCCAGGTCTGGTACCAGATCCGCGTTTACTTTGGGGAGGGGGGGGTAAACAACCTTAAGATTGCCACATCCGAGGATATCGGTCTCACGGATGCGAGGAGCCTCCCGGGATTTTTTTTAAAGATATATTCTTAAGGTTATCTTTCTTCAAAAAAAAAATCAGCGCCTCAAAGCATGCCCAAGCTCCCCACTTGGGACAAGTCGGGGTGAAGCCCCCCTCTGGAACAGCCTGGCAGCGGCGGCGAAGCCGGCGTGGACATCGGCGCGCCCCGCCGCTTTCTTCCTACTTTTCTCTCCCTCTTAAATGCAGTTAAAATGGCTGAATTCCGGCTTTTAATTAAAAACAGCCTGTCTCATCGAAAACGTCTGGGCGTCCCCGGCTCCGCAGCTGCCGGTGGAGAACCGAGCGGAGGACCCACGCCCCTCGGCCGTGCCCCCCCCCGGCCGCCGAGCACCCGGAGCGGGCTGGGGGCGAGGGTGGGCGCAGGGGGCGCGCCCCCTCCCTTCCCCGGGGCGCCCGCTCCCCGCGATCCCCCGCGTCCCGATCTCCTTCTCGGGAGCTGAGCGGCTCCGGGGGTGCCAGCCCCCCGCGCACGCCCGAGGGGCAGGCGGGGTGGGGGGCAAGCGGCAAGAAGTTTGGAGACCACCGCGCCCCCGCGGGCCTGGGGCAGGCGGGCCGGCGGCGTACCTGGCGCGGCGGAGCTCCCGGCTCCCGGCTCCGGTAACAACGTCTCCGGTGGCGGCCCCGGTTCCCCGGCGCGGCTAGGCGCCCGTGCTGCCCGCCATCCCGCGGCCGCCGCACACTTTTTGCCCGCCTTTCCTTTTTTTGGTAGAAAATCGCTCCCGGGGCCGAGCGTTCGGCGCGCCAACTCCTCCGCCCTCCCGCGGTCCGGCTCCCGCAGCCCCCGGAAAAGCCAGCTTTCCTCCCGCCCAGCTCCGCGCTTTTTAATAAAATCCAGGTAGCGCCGGTTTAAAGAATCCCAAATCTCCATATACAGCCCGGGATTGGAAAAGGTACATTACACAACCCCCCTTTCAAGTTCCTCTCGCTGGATCTAAAAAAAAAAAAAAAAAAAAAAGCCAGCGGGGGGGGGAGCGTGGGGGAGGGGAGCGCTCAGCGGCTAAGAAACACGCATTGTTCCCGGGTGCCCGCCCCCCCCTCGGGTCGGCCCCCGGCCGCCGCCCATTGGCCGCGCGCGCCGCCCATCACGCGCATGTAAACACCTTGGCCCACAGCCATTCCTATAAAACCAATTACGGACCTCGGGGCTCCAGCAGTTTCCAGGCTCCCCCTCGGCGGGGCTGAATGATCCAAACTGGTGGTGAGAATTTTTCCGAGCCGTTTCTAGGCAGCCCTCCTCCTCCCCCCCCAACCACCACCAGTTCCAGCCCTACCCTCCCTCACCCCCTCCCCCGCCTCTTCCTCCTTCTCCTCCCTTTTCCTCCCCCCCCTCCTTCTCCTCTCCTGCGTCTGGGCTTGGAAGTGATCAAAATAGGGGAAGATGGTTGTCGCCGCAATCCCAGGCGCGGTTTAATGGGCCGCCTGTCAGCTTCCTGCTCGCTGGAGGAGGTGACAAGCCGGACGAGCCGGGAGAGACCTTGGAGCCCGGCGAGCTGCAACCCTGCGCCCGACCCCCAGGTCTCCCCCCCCCTCCCGCCCTCCCGCCTGCCTTCCCGGGATTGCGCCTTTAGAACGCGCAGTGGAGACGCCAAAACAGACAAGGGCGGCTTTTTCCTTTTTTTTTTTTCCTTCCTTTTAAAAACAAAGCAGCGATTCAGTCCCTCTTTCCCCCAGCCGCGGGAGCGCGGTCGGGGTGGGCTAGGCAGGCCGAGAAAGGCGTTTTCTTTGCCCCAGCCTGCGGGTCCCTCCCTGAAACGTGGTGTCAGATGGTTACTGATTAATATTTTGGAGAGGCTGCGGCGGCGGGGAGCGGTGAGTCTAATCTTCTAAAAAGGGGGTTCCTATAGAAACGCGGGCCAGGGCGCGGGCGCCCCTCCCCGCGCGGCCCGCGGCGGGGCTGCGGCGCTCGGCTCCGCGCGCCCCTCCCCAAAGCCCCTCTTGGCGTGGGCGTCCCCCTCCCTTCCACCACCACCCCCAAAAAAAAAATCAGAGCAGAAAAAAGGATTAGATCGGCTGAGCGCAAGCTGAATCCCCCTCGATTCTGACATTTCAGCCTATTAGCATTTCTCCACGGGGCCTTCTGAAACCTATTAAAGTATAATATTAAAAACCTCTTGGCTGGGGGCCTCTCTCGCCTTCCATCCGCCGCGCCCCCTCCAGGGAGGGCGAGACCGGGAAAAAAAAAATCTGTTGAGCTCAGAGGAAGCGGCTGCCAAGCCTAAAAGTGCTTGGCTGGCCACGACAGCGGAGGGGGAGGGGGCCCCAATCCCCCAGACTTTGTACTTTATTTTTGCGCTTTCAGCAAAATCCTTTCCGGGTTGAGTCTCCTGGAGCTGTTCGAGGCCGATCTCTACCTGGCTTGGGATTCAAGGAGGACAGACCCCACTGGAAAACTGTTTGGGGAGGGGGAGGGGAGCCCACGTAACCTTTTCCGCAGCCCCGCAGGCACCCAAGCCCGGCTAGGCGTTTACCTACCCTGTAAGGGCAGAAATCCTAGCCGATCCTGCCTTGGAAGGCTACCGCGGTGACAGGATTTTAATGAAAACAAGAGAAAAGTCCGCTCTGCGAACTCAGCGTTTCCTCTTAGCTCCTTTAAAAAAAATCCATTTTTAAGGAACTTGTTTTTTTTTTTTTTGAAGGGAGGAGAAATGAGCTAGTGAGCGGCCCATTCGTTCTATTTTTTTCCACTTTTAGGGGGGACGTGGGGGGAGGGCTGGAGGACGAACGGGGGGGTAGAGAATGTCTAATTTAATTCCAGGATAAATTTGAGGGGGGGGAAGTTGAGCCTCTGGAGGGCAGTTTCAAGTTGCCCTTCTTGGAGCCTCCCGCGTTGGTTTCTAGGCTACCCACTTTGGGAAGCTAGAGACCGGGGTGGGGGTGGGGGAGAGAGAGAAAAGGAACGAAAATAGCCTGAGCCAAGGGGAACCAACGGCGGTGGCCGCGCATGGAGCTGGGCGCGCGGGTGTCAGTGGCAGCCAGGGCGGCGGGAGGCGCCCAGTGCGGCCTGGAGAATTCAAGAAGACGGAGAGAGAGGGGGGTTAGAGAAAGGAGGTATTGTGACTGTGTGCCTTAGGGGAGGGGGGGTGTCTGCAAAAATGAAATAAATGCAGTCGAACTGCACGGGGCTGCTGGGAGGGGCGCGCAAAGCACCCGAGTCTCATCCAGAGGCCTTTGTGGGGGTCCCAGTAAGCCCTCCCGCGGCGGAGTCCCATCACCTCCCCCACCCTGGTCGGAACACAGGCCTGATCCCCACCCCCTTATCCTGCCAGCCCGGGAATGTTATTTTAATATAGCACAAGGGGGCAAAAAATGTTATCTTGAGACCGTTGGGGTGGAGAATAATAATGCAAAGGGTTTTGGAGTAGGAAAAAAAGGCTTATTTTTATAAATGTTTAATGTTTTCACCCTGGATGCTCCAAGACGCCATAATTATGACAGCGGGGCTATGTGTGCCCATAAATCATTTAGTTGCTAATAAAAAAAAATCTGCCTATTTGCCCTTGGATTTGCCAATGGTCTGTGCCTTTTTTTTTTTTCAAGTGCGCGCCTTGTCGGCGTGGCACAACCAAGTCCGCATTTTACTGCAGCCGCCCACCAAGGTAGACGGGGCCCCCTCCCTGCTGGAGTCTTTGCGCCCGGGCCCCCTCGGGCCCTCCTGGCACCCGCGCTCCCCGGCGCTGCCACGCGGGCACACCCGCAGCCAGGGCGCAGGAGGCAAGGAGACGCTGGAGCTCGGGGTTCCCAGCCGCGAGGTGGGGCGCCAAGGACAGACCCTGTCCGCCACGTTTTTCCAGGCTATGGAGTCCACAGGGTGCGGACCAACCCAGCCACGTCTTTGATCTTTGCCCCCTCTCCTCCGCCTCCAGGAGTCCCCGCAATCGCTGGGTAAACAGCAGCCAGGAGCCATCTTGGGGCGTGGGACGCATCCCAAGGGCAGTGGAGACTGCAGCCCCGTCCTCTTGGGGACCTCCTCGGGTATCCAAGGGAAGGTCACTGGGCAGTCCAGCCTGGCTTCAGGGGTCTAGGAAAACGCCCTCTGGGCCCTGATGGATATACTTAAACCCTACGATTCCTTGGCCACCGCACAAGCCACGCGTCCCCGCCGCCATCTTCCGCGCCCCACCCCCATCCCCATCCCCACCCGCCTGCTTGTTTACCCGGCGGGGATCAGCGGCCAGAAAACGGTGTTGACACAGAGTGAGTGAGTGAGTGTGTGTGTGTGAGAGAGAGAGAGAGTGTGTGTGTGTGTGTGTGTGTTGTACTGACTGTGCGGAAAATCGGCTGGGAATGTGGGAGTAGGAGGGTCTCCACGCAGCCCCAAATTGCAGATTGTGGAAAACCCAACCAAGCCAGCCTCTGCCCGGCCTAGCGCGGTTATCTGTCCGTCCACCCCACGCCAGACATCTCTGGGGTGTCCCGGACTGCCACCTCCCGCCACACAATCCTAAACTGCCCTCCCCCCTCGCTGTAAAACCAAAGGACAGGCCAACCTTGAGTCCCGCGGCCTCCCCTGCCCGCCGCGAGCCTGCGGGCCCGGCCGACTGCAGGGGACCCGCGTCCCCCTCACTTTCCTGCCCTGTGCGAAGTGGAACCCCGCGCTTCCCGAGCCCTGGCGTCTCCGACCGCGTGGACACCTTCTCCTTTCTTGTGCTCCTCCCCCAGGAAGAAGGGGGGGAGCCAAGTGTCCATTCCTAGGAGAGGGCAACAAGGCCACTGCGTAGCCCCAAACCGCCTTTCCTGGGGGTAAGGCGAGAATCAGAACCCCAAGTCCATCGGCCTCTAGGTGAGGGGACCCCCAAGAGACGGCCAGCTTCTGCCACCAGATGAAAAGGCCACAGTCGGGTCCTCCAGGCGCGCAGGTCCTGAATCTGGCCACTCGGGAGCTCCCGACCGGGCGCCACTAAAACCCGGAGAGGCCTCACTCGGGACAGCCTTCCTCGCCGCCTCTCACCGCCCCGGGCCGGCTGGCTCGGCGGGCGCCGGTTCAGCCAACGCAAACCAAGAGCCATCCAGACCCGCCGGGACGACCGGGGACGAGGCGCGCCGCGCCCCGCTCGCCGCCAGGACCCAGTCGTGTGGCGGCCGGAGCCGGGGCCATCTCGCCAGGCCGGGCCCGGCAGATTCCGGCTCCTCCCGGCCCCGCCTCCGACCCTGGCCTCTTCCTCCGGCCCCAGTCGGTCGGGTTTTCCACTCCAGTGTTTGGCTCCGGAGGTTGGGGATGCGCTCGGTGAGACCATAAATCTCCGCGCCCTCGGCCGTCTCTGCGGCTTAGGCGCTGGCTTCCAAGGCCACACCGGGCGCCATACTGGCCTGGCCAAAGCTTGGGAACCCCGAGACTGCTCAGGAAGTCAAGCCTGGAGCTTTCCCGCTCGACACAGAAAAGGAAGAGCCTCGCCACTGAAAGCCACCACCATCCCCGCCCCGAGTGCCGGACCCCGAAGTGGCGCAGTCATGGATGATCACCACTTGGGGTAGGGGCGCTGGGACTGGCATTTCCCCCTAGGAAGCTCCGAGGGGCCGCCGGGATGGACGATCGGTCACCAGGCCAGGGCGACTTCCCACCACCTCTGCAGACCTGCCCTGTACCCACGCCCTGGGAGCCCTGTGCGGGTGCACAGGGGACGTTTTCAGGGGGAGAGAGGGTGTCGATAGGCGAATGGGGTGACTGCAGGCATGGGACCCCCGAGGTAGGGACTGACTCATCGGGTTCCCCACCTCCCTCTCCTGTGCCAGGGACGATTCCCCCCCCCCCAAGCTTCCCACCTCTCTGCGTCTGCTGCCAGCCCTGGTGCAAGTGTCCAACCGTCAGGCCAGCGCGGGCGGGCGGGGGGGGGGGGGGACACGTTTCCACCCGCATTCGGGATTAGTTCCACTG